GGGCAGGAAATAAGCAGAAACTGGCCTGGCCTGAGAACGAGAGCTCTGGCGGGTTTGCGCCCTTGCGCACCCAGGGGGCCTAGAGCAGTGCCTGGCATGTGGGAGGCAGTTAACGTGTTTACTGTTATCCAGATGCTGTTGTTTTCCTCATCGTACAGAAGAGGGAGCTGAGGCTTGGGGAGAGTCACTGAGCTGAGAGCGGCAGGTCTGGGTGTGAATGACGATCTATCTGAGCAGAGGGTCTGAGCGCTTAGCCTCTGTGGGGTCCCTCTGCCCCAGCACCTGCCCTCACCCCACACCACCTTTTCATGAGCCTCTTCTAGAAGAGGGACCAGCCGAGGGGGGCAGGGGCTTGGAGATGGCCCGTCCACACCTCTGGAAGAATCTTGGATAATCTCTCCTTCCCCCCCAATAGGTAAGGAAGTGAGCCTGAACTGGGGGTTGGGGGGGGGGGGTTGGGGGAGGGATGCAGTCTTCGGAAGGCAAAGCTAATTGGCCCCCCAGGGGCTCCAATCACAGCCTCCGTAACACTGTCCCCTCCCCCACCAGCTGCATCCACAGGGGAGCCCATGTCCTGGCCATTCCCAGTGACTCTGCAGGCCCCTAAATGGCCCCTCGTTAAACTGAAAACAAACCCTGGGTGCCTCGTGGGTGTTGATAAGACCCCCTGACCTTCATTTCTCATCTGCATGTCGGATGTCCTGCGTGCTAGCCAGTGCTCACCACATCCACGGGAGGGTGGGAAGCGGCTCACGCATACGAACAGTGTCCCAGAAACTCATTCCCAGGACAGTGCACTTCCTCCGCCCGCCAGGCAGTCAGCCCTGTCCTTGGATGTCCCTGCTCCTACATGAAGTGTGATTTGAGTCCTAGGAGCGGAGATCTGCTCTCACCAGTTCTTGAGAAACCACCGGTTCTCAGGCCCCAGGCCTCTCCGGCCCAGAGGGAGGGCTGAGGGCTGCAAACTGTCCTCGCCCTGTGACCCCATGGTGTCTGGGTCCTTCCTCTTGAGCCCAGACTCAGACTTGTGACCTAGCATTCGAGACCCTCCTCCTCCTCTTCTTTCTCCATCCTGTGCTCCCAGAACCTCCAGGGAAGAGGAGAAGGTGGGGGTTGGGAAACAGGCAAGAAATGCCCCTGAGGGCAGGGGAAAGGCCATGGCTGGGAGGCACCGTAACGGCAGAAGAAGAAATTAAAACCCTCTTTAAAAATCCAAGGAAGGGAG